CAGATCTTGAAGTAGTGCCTTTGGTATTTGCACATGTTTACATTTTTCATGATTCCCATGGAAAAATTAAGATGGACTTTAAGTAACTGCCAGATGATTCGTTCTTCCAAATTGATGGCGGCCGTTTTTTTGTCATGTTCTGATGACTCTTGTTGTTCAAGCTGTTGAAAGTTTCAGGTTGATTTGAATGGTCAGTTTCCCATGCAAGTTACATGAGCATTGTGCAAAAACTTGGTATTTGATCTCTGCATTTATGTCCATGGTCCCTAGTATGGTGATCTACCTTCAGTTGTTGGCGATCTATAGCCTGTTTTTACATTTTATTGTCCAAATGGTGCTACCAGTTTTAACTTTCCACAGTAGTTTTAGTTGTAATTGTGATATTCTAGTTGTTTTACTGTCCTTCGTCGACAGATGTCTTTCAGTGGCATTTAGAAGTTGTACATTGATGTCCAAGATATTTTTATGGATTAAACTTCTTTTTTAATTTCTCTCACGACGTTTTGAGACGATTCCAGGTCCCTTCATCAGGTGAACTGGCAGTTAGGACTATGACGTCGTCACTATGACGTCATAACTGAGTTATGACGTCACAATGCAAGTGACATCACAGTACACTAGGGAGAGTACTGTATAAGTGAGTTTGAAGAGTTAATTACATAATGATGAAAATTCATGCTAAATAATAGAGTTGAAAGTTGAATTGTCAATACACAACAACTGCTAAACACACAAAGGTTACTTGATAGCAGGCTTTCCAAAAAGAATAGTAGACTCGTTTTTTCTTTTATCTAAAGTTCATCAAAAGTTAATCAAGAGGTCCCACGCACTTGGCAGGTATACACCTTGATCACGATTAATTGCTGGTTTATGTCTCCTTATCTCGACAGCTTCCTGTGGAATGATATTAGGGTGATTTCGAGAAATAACAACGACTGGCGTCGGAGAAAACTACTAGTAAAATTCCATCTTGTTGATGGTGGTTCATCCGTGGTGTTGATAGGAGTAAGAATTGTTGGGAAGTGGTCGCTTCCACAAAGGTCGTCATGGACCGACCATTCAAACTCATTTAAAAGATTAGAATCTGTAAGTGATAGATCGAGAGCAGAGTATGATCCAGTGGCAGGATGGAGGTAGGTGTTTGATCCGCCAAACACAAAACCAAATGCCACCTCTCCTTCAGAGGTCCCCGTCGAGGTCCATAACCCCTTTGGCCCTCTGGATATGGAGGTAACTCCATCTCCACCAGACACCAATAGGAGTTCATCAAACGCTTTCTCACGTTCATGTGACATGTCACCAGTGGAAGCACCACGAATCCACAAAACATGATCCAATGGAATTGCAGAGGACGTAAGAATAATTATAATGAATTACAGTTATTGATTCAAGACTTCAAACCATCCGCGTTTTGTCTCCAAGAAACCTACCTAAAAAGGACTGATAAATTTGACATCCGTCGGTACAGTTCCTACCACTCCTTTTCTCCTCCCGGTGTAAAAAGCTACAGGAGGCACTTCTATCCTGGTGAGGCAGGGCATCCTCCATAGCCCTGTTCCACTTAACACCAACCTACAAACTGTTGCTGTCCGCATGACTCTGAACATAGGGTTTACACTATGCTCACTCTATCTTCCTCCCTCCTCAACTGTCCACCTATCAGATATTCAGAACTTGTATAATCAACTCCCAAAGCCCTACATAATCATGGGCGACCTGAACGGCCATAACCCTCTTTTGGGGAGTACTGATACCAATAATAAGGGAAAGGTCCTTGAAGATTTTCTCTCCAATAATGATCTATGCATCTTCAACGATGGATCTCCATCCTGCCACTGGAACATACTCTGCACTTGATCTATCACTTACGGATTCTAATCTCTTAAACGAGTTTGAATGGTCGGTCCACGATGACCTTTGTGGAAGTGACCACTTCCCAACTATTCTTACTCCTATCACTCCCGCGGATGAACCACCTTCAACAAGATGGAATTTTACTAAGGCCAATTGGCCATTATTCCAAACTCTCTGCTCTGAAAAGCCTATACCGGACAATTCAGGAATGTTCCTGATGCCATCGAACTATTTTCTGATATCTTAAATACTATTGGAGACGAAACCATTCCTAAGTCCTCTGCAAACCCGCACATACGCAAACCATGGTTTGATACAAACTGCAAACAAGCTAGGAAAAACAGGAAGAAGGCGGAAAAATACTTCCGTCAACATCCTACTGTGCATAACCTGAATGCCGTTAAAATGACAAATGCCAGGGCAAGACGTACATTTAAACAAACTAAACGCCAGTCATGGAGGAAATATGTGTCCGAAGTCAACTCCCGCACACCCATGTCCAAGGTGCGGAACATGATTCAAAAGATTAAGGGCAAAGGATCCAAAACTGGTGTTCGCCATCTCACAGATGGTGATTCCCTTTAACCAATAAAGTTGAAATAGCAAACAAAGCTGGCGTAACCTTTGGCAAACAATCCACATCATCCCTCAGTTCCATAAATATCAAACCCAACAAGAAAGGAAATCAGTCAATTTTAACTCTGATAATGGCGAGGATTACAATGAAACGTTTTCTCTCCATGAATTATGTACTGACCTCTGGCAGGCTCACGACACTGCGGCAGGAGCTTATGATATTCATTATCAGCTTCTGAAACATCTCCCTGATTCAAGTTTGGAAACACTACTCAATATATTTCATGGCATTTGGACAACCGGCAACTTTCCTCCTTCGTGGCCCAATGCCATTATTATCCCTATACCTGACCTCCAATATGTGTTCCGAAAGAACCGAAGTGTGTCTGGTGTGTCTGGAATCATTTATCAAAAATTCCATTGTCAACAAACAACATATTGTATCTGATACAACGTGGAAACATGTATTTTAAGAGATTTGCATGAAGTTGGATTGAGGGGTAGACTACCTCATTTCATTTCTCAGTTTTTAAACAACAGCTACAATTCTGCCTTAACAAAATCCAAAAGGGCCAATGAAAATGACCTGAAGTTTTCAAAATTCAAAACAAATTGTATTCACATTTCTCGTAAATACAAACCACTCAATGATCCAGACCTATATTTAGATGGTACTCACATCAAGGTAGTAGAAGAGGCCAAATTCCTTGGACTCATATTCAACCATCACTTGACATTCTGACCACTTACTAAAAGTCGTTTCAAATACAGAGTGGGGAGGGGACCAGACTATCCTCCTTCACTTCTGCAGATCATTGGTTCACTCTAAACTAAACTACGGCTCCATTGTCTATAGTGGAGCCTGCAAAAGCAATTTAGGAAAAATAGATTCTATCCACCACCAAGGCCTGAGGCTCTTGCCTGGGGAGGTTTTAGGACCTCTCCGGTAGACAACCTATATGCAGAGGCTAACGTATCCTCCCTTGAACAACACCCATTAAACTATCTGTGCAGTATATCACTAAATTATGTTCAAATTAGTCCAATCCAGCATGTAATAGTGTTTTCAACCCTCTCTATGAAAACCTGTTTCCTAATCTGCCAAGCCTGGTTCCACCACCTGGAATCAGAATTCAACCACTCATATCTGCAATATCATAGCACCGTATCGACTCCTGTCTTTGTCACCCTGGCAGGTGGTGAAACCACAGGCCGATCTTACCCTCACGGAACTCAAAAAGTCAGAAACAAATCCTTTTGTGTTCCAACAGGAATACAAACAGTTACGTTCCAAGTATAACCCACATAGGTCCATTCACTACAAAAATGACTTGGTTTCCTGAAACCATCCGTATACTGGGTAATTTGGGAATCCAGTTGGTTTCCATTCACTGAAACTGAGTAACTGAGTTTCCAACTAGATTCCATTTTGGATTCTTTGATTTTTCATTTCTGTAAATGGAAACCAACAAGAAACTAAGGGTAGAGGTTTCTTGTTGGTTTCCATTCTGGAATTTGCAAATGAAGTTTCATTAAATGGAAACCAACATAAAACCAGAATATGTAGTTTCAGGTTGGTTTCCTGTGCACTGTTTTGAACTGAGTAACTTAGAATTTGCAAGTATTTGGCATGAAGTTGAGCATCCTGGCTTTTCAAATAATGGGGAATTTTGAAAATCTAAATAGATGGATGATATTCTACGATGAGTAACAATTTTCACTGTAGTAATGAAAAATCTTCAAAGTCAAAAAGTGAAATTTAAGGGAAAAATCGGTTAATTATGTTTGCTTTAGAATGTGAAAGAGTATAAGCATTTAGGAAGTTTAGTATAATGTAAATCAAACAATTGTCAATCCGGTACATACATTACGGATTTCTCAAAAACTAGAATATCAGGGAATTGTACTATGAATAGAGGCTGTGAGTAATGTTTATAATTAAAAGCATTTAAAGTTAGTGTGCTTTGACAGTGAGTTCAAGTACTTGACAAACAATCAGTGTCATGTCATTTGTATGTCGGGGTCTGTGTGTCGGCTTCCTTGGGGTTGTCTCGTCTTAACGGGTACCTATTATCAAGCTTAAATTGCTGAAGAAGTAATGAGTCGGTAATCCATGGGCAGGCGCGAACTCGTGACATTTTATAAAAGCAATGGTTTTATGTACTGAAGTGGTCATTTTTGTCTGTTATGTCTTCAAATCACAACCAAATTGGGTCAGATATTGTTTTCATATCTGCCAATCGAAAAGGGATTAGGTATTTGTTAGTACCCACAATGCCCCTACACACAATTGCCGCCATTTGTCACTTGATCTCATGAGAAGTTGTTTTGAAAGTGGGCCAAAGTGTCTCCCGTTATTAACACAACAAGGAACCCAGCACAATGAATTGTTCCTTCGCTTGTCCATGTTATCTGAATCAAGAAAATGGCAATGCCAGTTACACTAGAAGCTTTGGAGGCTCGGGTACGTGAAAACTTGAAGACGGGAGCAGTCGTCGATCGCGGAGCGAGAAAGGGAACATTCCACGACCATGTCAGGTACAGTGCAAATTTCTTGAATTAATCAATAGCTCATGTTATGTGTAACGTTTAATGTACATAAGTATCAAGGACAATAAATATGAAATAACAATTTTAGACTTGTTGGAACTCGATAAGCAATGCGTGTCGAAATGTTGGCAAGAGATATGGCTTCCTTTACTTTGTCAACTCAAGAACTCGATTGTGATTTGGATCAGGTCACATACGACTAAATGGTTCATTATCGTAATGTATGAAATATTATGTTTGCAAGAACAATATGAACCACAGATATATCCAGCAATGTCACGACTCAAGATAACTTCCAAACGTATTTAGAAGTATTCGAATATTATTGCAAGAAATCCAATGATTGGAAGTTCTATTTTAAAGTTTGTTATTGAAAATTGCCTTTGATATTTGTACCACTGAAAAGAATACAGTGGGGGATAGTGAGTCAGTTTGTATTTATAGGAATTCTCTGACCAGATTTGGTGCATGGTTAGAGTGAAGTTTCAAAAGTCTTTGTCTAGTTATTAGAGTTACAAGACAGCCTATGACCCAAAAAAATCGACAATATTTTTCAGCCAACTTTTAAGACGATATTTATCATGAAAGTATTGATAATACTGTTATAATGCTGTTGAGTGGATAAATTGTCAACACAATATTTTTGGAAACTGTTTTTTTAAAAGATTTTCAAGTCAGTATAGGATAGATTACTGATGTATGAGGTAATTTAAGTTAATCATCTGATGTAAACAATTTTACACTTAGAATGTCAAGATATTTAACTCCGAATGAAGAGATGTGGATTTTGTTAGATCCACAAAAGAAGTTTGTAAAGAAAGTTGGATATATAGAACGTTTAATAGGATATGTTGGGTATACATTGATGTACATTGCCAACCTAAAATTATATGAACTTGTTAATTTTGCTTCTTTTGATATTAGCATATCTACACCTTGCAAATTGATATTTATTCTTCTATTGTCATGCCTTATTGTTATCAAGAGTACAATATCACTTAGAAAGTTCCTGATTTTTCCTTAATTTCTACATTTCCAGCATTCCATTGGGGCAGTGTTGGAAAAAATGAAGATGACTAACTGATCTTGACCTGCAACAGGTATGTGTAATCCAAACCATTCAGTAAATGATGTACATAAAATTATCCAAATAGCGTAAATCCTATGAATCAGAAAAATACATGAAAATTACACAACCACTATTTTCGTAACTTCCAACTGGAAATATTTTCCACTTATACACATCTCCTTTCGGAAGCAGTTTGGCGGTTTCGGGTTCGTTCACCTAGAAGAGGGAAAGCAGAGGCATTTGTCCGCAAAGAACAACAAAAGATTCAGATGTGTAAGTAAATTCTAATCGTTCTCAATTCTAATGTTACACAGGTTAAAATTGAAGAAAAACCTTATTTGAAAAAAAATCAAGTTAATATAATTTCTGGAAAATGTACACTGATATTCGAAAGAACTTTCAAAATAAACACTGTTTAATACGTGCAATGTATAATTAGATATATGCAGCTAAAAGAGTCTTAAATAGAACATAGTAAAGCGCCATTGACATTATGTTTTGGTCTGGACATATTTCACCTTGCACACATCAATTAACAATTTATTAACAACACCCCACTAAATAGTACTTTAGTAGCTGCAAACACGTTGTCAATAGCAGTATGAGATATTAGTTATGGAGGTCCGCCTATGACCCCATTCAATTGCTTGTCTGCCAGAATGACCCAACATTATTTTTTAAACCCAAAATTTATTTTCACATTATTTTCAAAATAATGGATAATTCGTAGTTCTATACATATAATATCAAAGCATAATGTATGTAACATTCAGAAAATAAGTTATAGCTTTCACATGAGAATTTTTCGGAAAAAGAGGCAATGATAGTATGAATTTAGTGTGCATTCCTAAGACATGTTATTAATTCAATGTCAATTTGTTTTCTATAAGTCACAACTGTTATTTAGTGAAACAAAATCTTTTTTGTCAGTCATTAAATGTCCAACCCAAGCTAAGGAAATATGTCCTTCTCTCGCTTGTCTCTCTACTCTTACAAATTTCACTAAGTTCTTCGTCCCTAGTATGGTGATCTACCTTCAGTTGTTGGCAATCTATAGCCGGTTTTTATATTGTATTGTCATTTAAAAGCAACATATTTTAGATTTAATTACTAGTCTTAAATTCATCACTGTGATAATCTAGTTGTTTTACTGTCCTTCGTCGACAGGTGTTTTATAATGTAATTGTGTTTATTGTTAATTTATAACTTATTAAGTCACAATATGGCTGAAATATTGCAGATGTGACTATAAATTTTAACTCACTCACTCACTCACTCACTAAGTTCTTCTGCGATTGAGACTGTTATCACTTTTCAGATCAAATGATCAGTTTTGATTTATTGAACTTTGTGCTTATTGGACAGTGGTTACAGTTTATTTTACCTCAAGCTTAATGAACATTGGACAGTTTTCCTTTCTCCAGCTAGCGATATTTTTGATGAATGCTTGTTTGTTCTGATTGTTAATTGTTTTCTAACTTTCAGAAGCTGGAAAGCAGGAAGGAGGTCCTGACAACGATTGACTGGCCGGAGAAGAAGAAGCAGAAAGTTCTTCCTCTCTTGGGGAAAGAGTTAACATTTCTCAAATTGGAAAAAACCAAATAATATGGAATCATCTACATTAACGAGTTTAGGAAAACATTTAATACTCACTGCTATTTATTCCCTGATTGCTTTTAATTTTTTATGCATTTTATTAATGTGAACATTCCAAATATCACGTGTTTATCAGCAAATTGTTGAATGTAAATAAACCTATCATGACTTTGTGTTTTATTCTGTTATTTGTCATCCTGACGGTTTTACCTTTGTGCAATTGTATAAAATACCTGATTTGGTATGTGTGTTGCATGAAAGATAACCTCTTTTCTGGAGGAGCGGGTAAGGGGCCGGCACAACGGGTTCAGTTTCACGGAAACCAGGTTATAAGCTGGGAGCTAGGTTGGAAACAACAATAAACTAAGCACCAGCAGGAGCCTCCATGAACGAATGGGCAAAGTCCCGACATGGATACCATCCAGATCCTGGTGCAAAATGCAGTTTCAGTTTTAATGGAAACTAGGTTATAACTTGGGAACTAGGTTGAAACCTACAACAAACTAAAACATGGAAACCAGGTTAAAACCTACAACAAACTAAAACATAGAAACCAGGTTGAAACCTACAATAAGTGAGTGAGTGAGTTATTATTGAACGTCACATCGGCAATATTTCAGCCATATCGTGACGAAAACTATTTATGCAATAAAAAGAGAAATGAGAACATTTGACTTTGAAATGGAATATATGTACGTTATAAAAAACCTGTCGACGAAGGACAGTAAAACAACTAGAATATCACAAGTACAACTAAAACTAGTATGGAGAGTTAAAACTGATAGCACTATTTGGACAATACGATATAAAAACAAGCTATAGATCGCCAACACCAGAAGGTAGATCACCATACCAGGGACAATGGGGAGAACCCTACAATAAACGGAAACATGGAAACCAGGTTGAAAATTACAATAAACGAAAACATTGAAACCAGGTTGAAACCAACAATAAACGAAAAAAACGGAAACCAGGTTGAAACATACAATAAACGAAACCAGCTGGATCTTGCTTGGAGGAGTGGGTAATGAATCGCACTGGAAACCAGCCGGAAATGGTTCAAGATTCAGTTTCAGTTTTCACGGAAACCACAATGAAACTTTTGGAAACTACATGGAAACCAACTGGAAATGGTGGTTTCCATGTCGTTTCTTCTCAGTTTCAGTGTTCCGGAAACCAACTTATTTTTGTAGTGATTTTTTACGAGTCGGATCCAAAGGATGATGGCCAAGTTGCCAGTGCTACAGTCCTTGGATCCAAATTGTCACCTCTAAAATTCCCCACAAAAGTCCCATTTTCACTGCTGAGGCCAAGGCTATCTTTGTAGATTACCCCCGAACTAGAAACTGTCCGTCTTTAAGAAAACCCTGCGACATTTAAGACGTCTGGAAATTGTTCCATGGGATCAGGTCTAAGTTTTTCAGAGCATAGGGTTTGGAATAATGGCCTAAGTAAAATTCGGCTTTTTTGAAAGCGGGTCATACGAGAGATGGATAGGAGTAAGAATTTTTGGGAAGTGGTCACTTCCCAAAAGGTTACCGTGGACCAACCTTTCGAACTCGTTTACAAGATTCGAATCTGTAAATGATAGCTGAAATGCTGAGTATGTTCCAATTGAAGGATGGAGATAAGTGTTTGATCCATCGTTGAAAATGCGTAGATCATCTGAGAGAAAGTATTTAATGACCTTCTTAAAAGTCTAAATGAACTCCGCCAAAGGGGGTTATGGCCGTTTAAGTCGCCAAAATTTAATGCAGGGTTTCGGGATATGATCATACAAGTTCTGAAAATCTGATAGGCGTACAGTTGAGGAAGGAGGAAGATAGCATGAACATAGTGTAAACCCTATGTTCAAAGTCGTGCAGACAGCAACATATTGTAGGATTGACTGCTTTTTCGGTGGAAACTGGCCAGAGGAATAAATGTATTTTAATTAAAACGTAACCTCTAACAGGCAGACTTCTGTTTGAGAAATAGTTTTGGGAACACCTGGTGTTATCACAGATTTTCAGTGATCCATTCATATTATTTTCGCAGATATTTTTCCTTTCACGCCAAATGGAATTGTTTCTGAGGATAGGCAGCACGGGGAATTCTTCCGCACTGATATTCTCTATTTACTGCTAAAAAGAGCTATATGAACAGAAACAAGTGGTAGATGTTAACCATTGCAATAAACACACTGTAAAATATGAAAGAGAAACAAACCTGTGACACCGACCAACGTAGCAGCCAAAACACACACCACTGCATTAGCCATCGCACGACTAAAAGAACAACTTCACTGTGTTTCCCGGATATCATCCAATCTCCAGCGTTACTATGGCGAACCTGAACGCAGCATCAAACATTAACGAATGTGAACCACAACAATGCAATATTATAATAAAACACAACTCATATCTACTATGCTCTTGCTATATGAGTAGCTAATTGCAAGTATATCTGTTACTTTTATATTGATTTGTATGTAGAGTTTTTTTAGAAGCTTCGCCAGAAGGTCAGAGCTGCCGACAATGCTGTGTGAGTGTGAGAGTTAAAATCATACATCGACATTCTTTCAGCCATATGTCAACGAGATCAAGGCTGCCATTGTGTTATCAGTGATTTTACCAAACATGGCTGGGCAATCAACAGAAGACGATGTCATATTGTCCAGTAGCAAGATCATTTTGTGACTCTAGGATTTCAATCATTGCAGATGTTTATTTAACATATTTCTAATTGCCTGAAGGCAAGGAAGAGACACTGAATATATATGTACTGTTTATATGTAGCTTAAGATGATAAAGGGGTGTTTAATGCAGCTGTATAGATGGAGCTGTTGTTTGGCAATCTCGAAGACCGAGCCACAATCTTATGCCAGAAGGCGGTGTCTCATGTGTCAATCTGTTGATGTTGACCTGTAAATTTAACATTAGTCCAATTTCCTAGTCATTGGCAGACCTAACCTGACATATTATTGTTTACACAAATGTTGCCGTTTGTGTCGTAGGAGTATACAAACCGCATCCCAAGTGTTTGCATGAAGAATATCAAATGTAAAATAAGGTATTTTTGTCACTCCATGGCGGGTGGGGAGCAGCGTTGCTGAACACATTTGCTTTCCAGGGCTCACATTGGTTCAACACGTAGACATCTGGAATCAAGTTCATCTGATGGGGCTACTACACATTTTGATTCCTCTAATCTGTAAGACAAGAGTTTCTGGCTGTTGATTAAAATAATACCCTCAAGTAGATATCAGTACCATGTTTCCTGATTATTACTACAAAGTCAAATGTGCCATAAAAACAATCAGGTTGGTGAATGAATCTTCAGTAGCCCATGCTTGTCGTAAGAGGCGACTAACGGGATCGGTTGACACATGTCCTTGGTTCCCAATTGCGCAGATCGATGTCCATGCTGTTGATCCCTGGATTGTCTGGTCCAGACTCGTTTATTTACAGACCGCCGCAATATAGATGGCATATTGCTGAGTCCGGAGTAAAACTAAACTTCACTCACCCACTCACCGCGGTTTTGCTTTTTGGTTTAATTATTTTTGGCATCTATTTGAGAAAATCCATTAAACGAAAATTCAAATGTAACACGAGGGAAAACGAAAACATGATACAATTGGTCGAAACTAGTTATTCTGGCTTCCCTAAACCTTGAAATAACCATGATGATAATGAGGTCATTTTTCAGAAAAAACAACAAACACAATTGCAATTTATTCTTCGCGTAAATGTTCTTTGTAATAACAAACATATTGACTTTATAAAGTTTTGCATCTTGCTAGAATTTTACTGCAACCTACCTACCTCTTCCTGTAGCCAACTACCCCCACTATAGCATTGACAACACTGACAACAGATACATCAGTGACGAGGAACTCAACGAGATAGTGAGTGAGTACATGTACATCAAATTTTGAAATCATCACAATAACATTTATTTTAGTTATACCTAGATAAAGAACACTGAAACGTCTCATTTAGTAAAGCCTTCATTTATGTCCGATACAGAAATTTCTTAACTTTAGTGAGTGAGTGAGTGAGTTAAAAATAAAAGTCACATCGGCAATATTTCAGCCATATCGTGACTATAACTAGTTCTAAAGTCATAATACATACACATAATACATAAAACCCCGATAACGAAGGACAGTGAAACCACTAGATTATCACAAAGTGAGCTAAAAGTAGCTAGTATATAACTGTTTAAAGGAGAAAACTATTTTTGGACAATACAATGTTAAAAAGGGTTATAGATGAATGAGCAAGGGACCATTTTTCTTAACTTTAATTCTGTTCAAATATAAACAATTACCAATGACAATGAATTTATGCAATGCAGTGAATTTCAATATTTCAGGCGGTAGAGGGTGGTATGCTGTACAATTCTTAAAGCCTCATTCTCCGGCGAGATGCTTATATTTTTGGCAAGTCTTTGCTGGACGTACAAAATCTTAAAATATCTGTGATATATTAGTTATTACAGCTTTAACAGATATTTCACCCTTGTTTAAATTTAAATTTACCAAACTCAAATTTTCAAACATAATATACAAAATTGGGACGATTAGGAAGCACATCACAATGGAAAGTGCCCACACTCTTGTGAGATGCCTTGTAACATCCAGATTGGATTACTGTTATAGCCTTCTATACGGACTCACCAACGGACATCTCAATAAACTAAAAAAAGTCCAAAATACAGCAGCAGGTATTATATCCCTTACCACTAAACGAGACCATATCACCCCTGTACTCTCATCATTACACTGGCTTCCAATCAAGTTCCGGATTGACTTCAAACTTCTTTGCATTGTGCATAAATGTTTGCATAATCAAGCTCTTTCATATCTCTCTGAACTTCTCACTGTGTACTCCCCTACCAGAACTCTCAGATCTCAAGACCAATGTATTATCTCCGTTCCCAAAGTTCTCCTTTCTTCTTTTGGCAAGAGGTCTTTCCAGTACGCTGGTCCTACTCTGTGGACTTCTTTCCCTCTCCACATAAAGCAGTCTCCCACATTGGAAACTTTCAAAATTAAGTTGAAGACTTTCTTTTTTTCCAAAGCCTATCCCTAAAATCAATCATTCTGTGATCAATTTCAATGTATACTTATTTTGCTATTTTATCCTCTGTATGCATTGTATGTATGCTTTTATGTAGCGCCTTGAGCATGTATCAGTGGGTGGAAAATGGCGCGCTAAAAATATCCATTTTTATTATTATTAAAATCAATGTGGAATGTCAAAAAAAAATCATTGTGAAACTGAATACATATCTACTACAGGTGTATTGCTGAGCTGTGGCAGATTGTGAGAACGAAAATTTTCAAGAACCTTCACGAACTTCACTGCCAGAGTAATAGAGAGAATGAGGGGCGGGGTGCGTCTGACAATGATTATATATACTTAATTAACTCTTTTACAATTCCACACAAATTCTTCGCTCTCCCGTCCCATGGTCAACCATCTCTCCGGACCGAAATGTAAACAAGCACATTTTACGCGCGCATCAAAATGTTGCATCGAAACACGCCGTCGTCTGAAATCTCGAAGTGGTCAAATGTAGCTGGCACATCACTGGACTATGGTAGAAGATGAGAATTGAAAGTTTCAAAAAGACTTCACAAGCTTCAGTGCCAGAGTATTACTGGAAGAGAGAAAGACGAACGGGGTGCATCCGACAGTGATCATATATTTGTTGTCATTTCTCTGGCTGGTGCAATCTGTACACACTTCGTGAGTGGTAAGAGCAAAGCTTCTGATGTCCTGTGGTGTCTCCCAGTGTGTCGTGTCAGTTTCAACCAATGATGTGGCTTGGAGTTGCAATTTAACGTCGGGCTGCCATTGTTACAGCCATATTGCGACGAGACCAAGTTTACACAAATCTATAATTACACAAAGTTACACATTTCAACATCTCGATATTATGTATTCTACCATGACCACGTGAAATTCTTGAATTTGATTGGACAATCAATAAAAATTGACACAATCAATTTCCATTGAAAATGTGTATGATATTATCACCGCTAATGTATTACAATGCACTAATTCCGCTTGACAATCAACATGGCGGATGCCAACACAACAGACGCGATGGATTTCGGATTTGTTTTCAATGGGCAGTTTTACCGGACCTGGGCGAATTCAGCGATGATGAGTTTGACTCAGTCCTGACCAACCTAAACAGTTCAGGTGAATTGAGCCCAGAAACTTTAGCGTCTTACAGGCAGATCCTGCAAAAGTTAGACATTTTCTTTTAAACGTTAAATACGCATTACTTCAGATCAGACCTGACCCACAACGAACCACCTGATACATGTTGTCTCACCTTACGCAAGCGAGTTTGTTCAAAATTGCCTCTGTTCACCCATGGGTACCCGGTGGGATGTGACTTTTACCTTCTAGCGCATAACAGGCAGCTTGGGTTATCGGGGGTAATAATGTTGTGTGTTTGTGCGCGCTTCGAGCATGCCTCTTTGTGGTGTGGAGTATTGGGCGCTTCGAGCATGCCCCTTTGTGGTGTGGAGTATTGGGCCCTTCGAGTATGCCCCTTTGTGGTGTGGAGTATTGGGCGCTTCGAGTATGCCCCTTTGTGGTGTGGAGTATTGCGCGCTTCGAGCATGCCCCTTTGTGGTGTGGAGTATTGGGCGCTTTGGGCTTGCCCCTTTGTGGTGTGGAGTATTGCACGCTTTGAGCATTACCCTTTGTGGTGTGGAGTATTGAGCGCTTCAAACATGCCCCTTTGTGGCGTAGAGTATTGCCCGCTTCGAGCATGCCCATTTGTGGTGTGGAGTATTGGGCACTTCGAGCATGCCCCTTTGTGGTGTAGAGTATTGGGCAGTATAAGTACCCTCATTATTATATGTTTTAAGTAGCTTAATGCTCAAACCCGTGTCTTCATTAAACAAGTTTCGGTCCAGTGAATTATTTTGTGGGCTTGTAACTTCCATGCGTAGCTAGCCCGTCTGGCTGACAAAATTTGGAAACTATTTCTCACACTGGATAGCAGTTTGATATGTTTATTTAGTAACCCACCCAGATATGTTAGTTATCTGATAACACACCATGAACCTGAGGAAATCTAGACTTGCTCTATTTTCGGCTTAAGCATTGCCGTACAAGGGTTGGGCTGGGAAGTGAAAAGTATGTGGTTCAGGCGACTGACACAGACTACACTCAATCAACTAAATTAAAAACATCATGTATATGTCGGAATTGTAGGTCTGACATAATATATTCGACCATACTTGATATATTTCATTTCACCTTACCTAAATTGTAAGTTCCAAGGTCATTAGAATTTACAAAACCTGGGTACACACAGACGAGTTGCTTGAGTACCGACTGAGTGAGTTAAGATTTCTAGTCACATCGGCAGTATTTCAGCCATATATTGACCAAAACAAGTTATACATGGCAGTGTAAGATGACGTGAATATACTTTTCATTTCTGAGACTGGTTGTCTTAAAATACAGACAGACTATTTTATATTTACCAACGTTTTTCAATCACTCTCATTTTATTCATATCTAAATTTACAACATTCTTAGTCACGATATGGCTGAAATACTGCCGATGTGACATTAAAGTTTAACTCACTCACTAACTTGACATAAAGACTTCCCGAGTATAAAGAGCTGAACTTCTGCCGTCCTGACGCGAGTCCCGTGTGTCGTGTCAGTTTCAACCACTTGAAGTCCGTGCACTACAGTTCCACCGACACACAGTGGACGAGCAGCCTATTGTGAAGCGGCCCTTAGCCAGGTTATAAAACTTGGACAGACTGTACCTGAACCTGTGTGGCAGTGATGCCCATGTGGCTCTGATATGTTGCTGAACAATTCGGCGATTGTATTGCGGGGGTGTTTAAGTTAATGACATCACAGCTTTGGTGTACACGGAAATTTCCATCTTTCTGTTGCTACATCGCAGGAACCGTCAGTTTCAGATCACAACAACTTTGTTCAATAGTTTTCAAATAAACACTAGTTATTTTATTGTAGAAAAAAACCCATGTGTTACGTAGCTAAAACTTCAGTGTATAAGTGTCGGTAAATACAAGTTGATGACATTTTTCAGAAAATAACACTTTGTGCGATAACCCCCTTAAAAAGTGAGTGAGAAAGTTAATAATGAACGTCGCGTCGGTTTTATTTCAGCCCTATTGGTACAAAAGTCTGAGGACGTTCTGCAGCTTTAGTATCACGTTATGGTATTGACGGGTGAACGAGTTGAAATCATTACATCACACTGGCAATATTTCAGCCATAAAGCTAGGAGAACAAGTTAGATTTTATTTAAAACCTGTCAACAAACGCCTTGAAAACAAAACGATATATATCATAGTTTTAATCTCGAATCAAACCATGTCAATATGAAAAAGACAATTTTAGTTCAAATAAAACTAATCTTTTGACCAGTAGCAACAAAAAAAACACCCCGCCTTAATAGGGACTGCCTGAAATATTGCCGAGGTGATGTTAAATTGTAATTCACTCACTCACTTAAACGGGGCGGTGGGGTAACCTAGTGGTTCAAGCGTTCGCTCGTCTCGCCGATGACCCGGGTTCGATTCCCCACACGGGTACAATGTGTGAAGCCCCTTTTCTGGTGTCCCCCGCCGCGATATTGCTGGAATAAAGCTAAAGCGGCGTAAAACCATACTCACCCACTCACTCACTTAAACTATCAGGCAGTCTCCCAAGCTGGTGAGGTAAAGTTTAACGTGACCTTGGCAAATATTTCAGCAATATAGTGGCGAAAGGTTTTAATGAATATACTCTATAATCTCTCACTGTTAAATATACGGTAGTTCACTGTAATATGTTCACAGTGCTCCGCCGTAATATCTAAATACCGTAAAGTACCGTCATTATGACGTTGGTACCGTAAACAGATGTCATATGGGATCGTTTGATGAAAGCCGCCATTGTTTGAGGTTCGGGACAGGCTGACTAGGGATCTGACTACCACATCTGAACTGATAGATCACAGTTTCCTGGTATGGATACGAGTATCACAGGCGTAGTATGTTAGTTTCTGCTGTATTTATTTGAAGTTTAGTCTCCTGTCTTTGCCAGGGAATATACGTTGTTCGTCTAGAGTTTTCACAGTTGTGTACAAGGATTATGTTTGGTTGCAGACGTTCTAGTTTTGAAACGTCCACACTTAGGCACTATGTTGACCATTGGGAATCTAGACGAATACTCTGTACCAGTAGTTCCTCTGTGACAAGTAGGCGGGGCAGGGAATGTAGACGAATACTCTGTACCAGTAGTTTCTCTGTGACAGGTAGGCGGGGCAGGGAATGTAGACGAATACTGTGTACCAGTAGTTTCCCTGTGACAAGTAGGCGGGGCAGGGAATGTAGACGAATACTCTGTACCAGTAGTTTCTCTGTGACGAGTAGGCGGGGCAGGGAATGTAGACGAATACTCTGTACCAGTAGTGTCTCTGTGAGAAGTAGGCGGAGCAGGGAATGTAGACGAATACTCTGTACCAGTAGTTTCTCTGTGACAAGTAGGCGGGGCAGGGAATGTAGACGAATACTCTGTACCAGTAGTTTCCCTGTGACAAGTAGGCGGGGCAGGGAATGTAGACGAATACTCTGTACCAGTAGTTTCTCTGTGACAAGTAGGCGGGGCAGGGAATGTAGACAAATACTCTGTACCAGTAGTTTCCCTGTGACAAGTAGGCGGAGCAGGGAATGTAGACGAATACTCTGTACCAGTAGTTTCTCTGTGACAAGTAGGCAGGGCAGGGAATGTAGACGAATACTCTGTACCAGTAGTTTCTCTGTGACAAGAAGGCATGGCAGGGAATGTAGA